TAACCGGATCATTAGAATACAGAAAGATACTCACTGTGGCCTGTAACTGGATCATTAGAATATGGAAAGATATTGTGGCCTGAGTTTTCCAAAGTCCAAGGCAGAAAGGAGAAGGGAAAAAGTTTATTCTTTTTTTTTTTTTTTTTTTTTTTTTGAGACGGAGTTTCGCTCTTGTTACCCAGGCTGGAGTGCAACAGCGCGATCTCGGCTCACCGCAACCTCCGCCTCCTGGGTTCAGGCAATTCTCCTGCCTCAGCCTCCTGAGTAGCTGGGATTACAGGCACGCACCACCACGCCCAGCAAGTTTTTTGTATTTTTAGTAGAGACGGGGTTTCACCATGTTGACCAGGATGGTCTTGATCTCTCGACCTCGTGATCCACCCACCTCGGCCTCCCAAAGTGCTGGGATTACAGGCTTGAGCCACCGCGCCCGGCCAAAAGTTTATTCTTTCTTTGAATCAGTGATCAGTGTCACCTGCTCATTCTGGCCCTGTGCTAGGCACTCGGGGTGTCCAGCAAGACTTGACTTGCCCTTGAACATGCTCTCACAGTCAAGAGTCATCTGGGCCCTGGGGTAGCCCTGGCCTAGAGGTTTCAAGAAATGATGACATTTGAGCCACATCTTGAAGGAGTAGCAGATTTTATCAAGCACTCCCAAGAAGTGAGGGCAAAACAGGCATGCCTGAAGAGGGACCTGCCTGTGCAGAGGTGTGGCTTGATGTGCTTGGCGGGTAGTGAGAAGGTTGGGTTCCCCAGGACAGAGGGCTCCCAGGCTAGTCTGGACAGAGCATAAGGGAACTGGAAGAACACAGAAAACATGGTTGGCTCACACCTGTACACCCAGCACTTTGGGAGGCCAAGGCCGGTGGATCACAAAGTCATGAGATCAAGACCATCCTGGCCAACATGGTGAAATACCATTTCTACTAAAAAAAAAAAAATACACAAAATTAGCTGGGTGTGGTGGCACATGCCTGTAATTCCAGTTACTCAGGTTACTGAGGCAGGAGAATCACTTGAACCAGGGAGTCGAAGATTGCAGTAAGCCAAGATTGTGCCACTACACTCCAGCCTGGGTGATGGTGAGACTCAATCGTAAAAAAAAAAAAAAAGAAAGAAAGAAAGAAAAAGAAAACATGGGAGCCAAGCACAGGGGACAGAATCAAGCTGGGGGGAAGGCTTGGGCCTCAGCTTGGGTGGGAGATGGGCTCAGGCCTGGAGCCAGAGGCCAGGCCCTGACAGCCTCTCTGGGGACAGTTCCGTCGAACAGCACTGCACCGAGCCTCCCTGGAAGGCCATGTGGAAATCCTGGAGAAGCTTCTGGATAGTGGGGCCACTGTGGACTTCCAGGATCGGGTGAGTGAGAGGGCAGGTATTCAGCGGGAGACAGGAGGTGGGTCCAGCACCAACAGACACCCTCTCCCTGCCCCCTGTGCCAACCTGAAACACAAACAGGTTGCTGAGGGGCCAGATTCCACCTCAGTGGCTTGTGTGACCTCGAGGAAGCCCCTTCTCCTCCCTAAGCATCCTCTGTGAGCCTGGCTTGGATCGGATGGGCCCTGAGTGTTTTTCTGTTCCACTTGATCCATTGCGCAGGCCTAGGCTGCTCCCTGTACCTTTCCCCTGGATAACTCTCTGTCTTCCTGGCTGGCGTCCGTTCCCCCCGGATATTTCTTCTCTGCAGCTCTGTAGTTAGATCTCATCATTTCCTTCTAGCTGGACTGCACAGCCATGCATTGGGCCTGCCGTGGTGGCCACTTAGAGGTGGTGAAACTTCTGCAAAGCCGAGGAGCAGATACCAATATGAGGGATAAGGTGAGGCAACAACGCTCAGAAGCAGCAGATACTGGGGTGGCTGTTGGGAGGAAGGCAGGGGTCTGAGGGCAGGAAAGCCCAGGGGGGCAGGAAGGTAGCGAGTAGTCTGGTTTCTGGCTGCAGAACAGGCAAGCTAAGATAGTGTTCTACTGGGCCTCCCAGCCCAGGGACAGGTCCCTGCCATCCACACAGGCCCTTGATGAACCACCATCTGGGGATGGGAGCAGGAAGGGCGGACAGGAAGGGAGGACAAGAGACTCACTGTCTTGGGGGCTTCGGGACCACTCAAAAGATGCAAGATTTGTTCATATTATCCATCATTATCCTTCTATCTAGCTCTCTATTCATCCATCCATTTTCCATTTATTCATCCACTCATTCATTTATTTATTCATGCACCATCCTTCTATTCACTCGTTCTTTCATGTACAACCTTGAACAAGTGACAGCCTCTGAGCTTTTGCTCCTCATCTGTAAAATGTCTTGCAGAGTTCTTGTGTAGATTAGGTGAGAAAGCATACAGAAATAAATTATTTATTCAACATAAGGCAAATGTCTTTTTTGGTTTGTTTGTTTTCTGAGACGGAGTCTTGCTTGGTCGTCCAGGCTGGAGTGCAATGGTGTGATCTTGGCTCACTGCAACCTCTGCCTCCCGGGTTCAAGCGATTCTCCTGCCTCAGCCTCCTGAGTAGGTGGGATTACAGGCGTGTGCCACCACGCCCAGCTAATTTCTGTATTTTTAGAAGAGACGGGGTTTCACCATGTTGGTCAGGCTGGTCTTGAACTCCTGACCTCAGGTGACCCATCCACCTCAGCCTCCCAAAGAGCTAGGATTACAGGCATGAGCCACTGTGCCCAGCAAGGCAAATGCCCTGTAAGCTTTTGACATGTCTATCCCATAGTCATCTCTCAATAAATAACATCTATTATGATTATTAAAAGAAGGGTAGACGAGTGAGCAGCTGAGTGAGAGGAGAATCATAGAAGGCTTCCTGGAGGAAGTGGTATTTAAGGCTTTAGAGTTAGCCCATTGGTTGGGATGGTGGGAAATTATACCATTCCCTGCCCCTCCAGTCCTCAGGCCTTGGCACTAGGACTTGGAAGAGGGATTAAGCTGGAGTTAGGACAGCCCCGCCTCCCCAGGGGTACCACAGTTCAGGCCTTGTCAACCAGCAGTTCCTGATTCCTCCCACCCAGCTGCTGAGCACCCCCCTGCATGTGGCAGTCCGGACAGGGCGCGTGGAGATTGTGGAGCACTTTCTATCCCTGGGCCTGGACATCAATGCCAGAGACAGAGTGAGTGCCAGCCTGCCTGCTGCTCACCCCGCCATGGGCGTGCGGGCAGCCTGCAGGCTCCTGCAGGTGGCGTCCTTCCTCCTGGGGCCTTCAGGACTTGGCTCCTGAGCAAGGTCTCTAGACCACCTCCCATCACCCTGCCCCCTCCCACTGCCCACAAGGGCCATACTGAGGGCCACATTGACTCTAGGAAGGAGACACTGCCCTGCATGACGCTGTGAGACTCAACCGCTACAAAATCATCAAACTGCTGCTCCTGCATGGGGCTGACATGATGACCAAGAACCTGGTAAGTTCATTCCCTCCCTGATTCAGTCATGGGTGTGAGCACTCACATAGTGGAGGGGCTGTCCACGCCCCTGGGGGACCCCCCCACCTAGGGACAGGTATCATTGGCTCTGGCCAGTACCATAGTACATAAAGTTGTCCTCTTCCAGAGCACCACTCCAACTGCCCGCCCCACTCCATGTGTGTCTCTATGTCCAGAGTGCAAGTGCCAAGAGACAGCAGGAGGGCCAGTAAGAGGCCTTCCCAAAGACCCCAAGAGGCCTTCCCAAAGACGGGGTGCTCACGTGCAGGCCCAAGAAGGCCAGAATTATGAAGAGCTGGAAGGGTCTGAGCACTTGGCTGGCATGACAATTCCTAGCACCATGTCAGCTCCTGGTGGCCTTTGAGTTTTCTTAGAATCTAGGCAGGAAGTCCTTGGAAGGGGAAGGTGCCCCCAGGGAACACCTTGGACTAGGGGACACTTGGTCCCAGTTCTTCTTTGGGGCCCAGAGCATTCACAAAAGGAGGGCATGGGAGAGTCCCGCAGGCTCAAGAAAGGCTAAGGGGATAATGAGAAAAGCAGGAAGATATGGAGACGGTAGAAATGAGGGTTTCTTACCCCAGCATGATTGACACTGAGGGCAGGGTGCTTCTTTTTGTAGGAGACTGTTCGATGCATTGCAGGATGTTTAGGCAGCATGCTTGGCCTCGGCCCACTAGATGCCAGTAGTACCCATCCCCCAGGGTGACAACCAAAAGTGTCTTCGCACATTGCCAGTTGCCCCCATTTGAGAAGCTCTGGTGGCGTAGACGAGGGTACCTCCTGGGAAAGCCTTCAGGACAGTGAATAGATTTTCTCTTGGCCCCCACAGGCAGGAAAGACCCCCACGGACCTGGTGCAGCTGTGGCAGGCTGATACCCGGCACGCCCTGGAGCATCCTGAGCCGGGGGCTGAGCATAACGGGCTGGAGGGGCCTGATGAGAGTGGGCGGGAGACACCCCAGCCCGTGCCAGCCCAGTGAACGCCTGCCCCAGCCTGGCCAGCTACCCGGCCCCTCCCCGTGTGCAGCCAGAGGATCCTAAGAATGGCTCCCAGAGCTCACCGAGGGCCCAGCCTTTCCTCTGCGTGATCCAGGAGCACCCACAAACTACCACAATAAAAAGGCTGTTTTTGCTAATTGTGATGTTCATTTCCATTTGTGTCTGAAATCTTTAGGAAGGAAGGAAGACTGGGCCACATGTGGGCTTGGGGAGGAGGGAAACTGGGAGCCAGTTGGGCCTCGAAGCCAGCCCTGCAGCTTCCCTGCCACGGTCTCTTTTCATTTCTTCCCTATCACTCAATTTTTCCTGCCCCGTCCCATGTCTCTGGGGCCAGGCTTGGCCCCTGCATGGATTGACTTGGTGATAGACTCATCCTGGGCCCCCTTCCTGGTGACTGCTGTCCTGTGGGGCTGTGTGTGGCTGGCACAGGCTTGTCGCGTGGCTGTCTTGGCAAGAGGAGCCTGGCAGGGGACTGGGGCAGGGGAGGGACAGCCTGTCACAGGCAGCTTCTTACCCAGCCTTGCCACGCCTCCCACAGGGCAGGGCCTGCTCAGCCAATCAGCTCCACCAATCTCAGAACTGCCTGTGGACACCTGGCAGTGCTTCCAGCTTTGGGGCTGGGAATGGTGGGAGGAGGGCCCAGATCCTGCTGGAGATACCCTTTAGTATTCGGGTCCCAGAAACCAGTCCTACATCTGGCCAAAGGGACACTGTTTTGTGGCATTTCTCCAGCTGCTACCTAGAAGGAAGTGGGCCCCCTGGGGCCTATGTGCCTTGCCCCTGACCCTGGGGACACTCAGCTCAGGCCTGCCCCAGTGGCCACAAGTCAGGGAGGCCGCAAATTTTTAACTAGACACATTGATCATTAATAGGGGGTTAGAAAGAGTCCAAACTAAGTCTCACTCTGGGACACAGACCAACTGTGCCTCGGGCCTCCTGCAGAGATGCTGGGTCCCCAAGTCTGGTCCTCTGTGAGGCAGGGGCTAAGCAGGGGCTTGTCCAGGAATGTGAGGGGCTGGGCCTCAGGGGAGGGGAAGAAGGTGGACATTGCCGGCATCTACCCCCCTGTGACCACCCCCTTCACTGCCACTGCAGAGGTGGACTATGGGAAACTGGAGGAGAATCTGCACAAACTGGGCACCCTCCCCTTCCGAGGTAAGTGGGGCTGTCCTCCGTGGGAGTTGGGGAGATGTGAGTGGCCCTATTCTCTTTAGCCAGAAAACAAGGGAAGGTACACAGGCTCTGTCAAGCTGTCCAGGGATAGTCTGGTACTCAGTGGGCGACTTTATTATGGGAGAGGAACAGGTGGGACTGATCTGGAATCAGGAGACAGGCAGGAAGCTCCTTGCTGGCCTGTAACCTTAAGCCAGACCTCACCTGCTTCAGTTTACCCAGCTGTAAACTGCTAAAGTGCCTTTGTAGCTCCCAGAGTTATTCTGGGGTTGGACTAGATAATTGGTGTGAAAGTCCTTGTCAGCCTTGCAGATATGAGGGCATCTGGCTGCAGTCATGTGACAGCCCAGCCGCAGTCCCAGCTCCCTCAAAAGTTTTTTCTTTTTCTTTTTTTTTTTTTTTTTTTGAGACGGAGTTTCGCTCTTGTTACCCAGGCTGGAGTGCAATGGCGCGATCTCGGCTCACCGCAACCTCCGCCTCCTGGGTTCAGGCAATTCTCCTGCCTCAGCCTCCTGAGTAGCTGGGGTTAGAGGCACGCACCACCATGCCCAGCTAATTTTTTGTATTTTTAGTAGAGACGGGGTTTCACCATGTTGACCAGGTTGGTCTCGATCTCTCGACCTCGTGATCCACCCACCTCGGCCTCCCAAAGTGCTGGGATTACAGGCTTGAGCCACCGCGCCCGGCCCCTCAAAAGTTTTTTTGCATGTTCTCTTCCGGACAAAGACGCCTTGGCAGAATTAGTTCTCTCTGCTGTGGCTCCTGTGACCCCTATCTCTCTACATACATGCGTCTCCCCTGCTTTGAGGTTGGGGACCAGAAGATATTTGTGACACTCAACATGTAACAGAGTCCCTGGCACAATAAATGAAGGTAGAAGAAAACGGCAAGTCCTGCCTGCCCTGCTCCACCCAGCCCGTTCCCATTCCTTACTGAGCAACCCCCTGAGGTAGTGCTCTCTACAGCACCATCCCACAGACGGGAACCTGGGGCTCGGAGTGACACAGTCACCACCCAAGGTCATTTGGCTAACACATAGCTGCACCTCCTCTGACTGCATGCCCATGCTCTGCTTAGCTCCCTCGCTGACTCTCGTTATAAACTTTTCGGAGCTGCTAGACCACACTATTTCAACAGCGTGTCTGGTTGGCACTAGCTTTGGGAATGGTGTGGCTCCTATTGAGGCAGTTTCATGTAGGCTGTGGATTCTGGTTTCAAATCACAACTCTGGGCTGGGCACAGTGGCTCATGCCTGTAATCCCAGCACTTTGGGAGACCAAGGTGGGCAGATCATGAGATCAGGAATTTGAGACCAGCCTAGCCCACATGGTGAAACCCCGTCTCTACTAAAAATATAAAAGTTAGCTGGGTATGGTGGCAGGTGCCTGTAATCCAAGCTACTCAGAAGGCTGAGGCAGGAGAATCACTCGAACCTGGGAAGCGGAGGTTACAGTGAACCGAGATCGCACCATTGCACTCCAGCCTGGGTGACAGAGCAAGACTCCGTCTCAAAAACAAACAAACAAAATCAGGCCAGGCATGGTGGCTCACACCTGTAATCCCAACACTTTGGGAGTCCAAGGCAGGTGGATCACCTGAGGTCAGGAGTTCGAGACTAGCCTGGCCAACATGGTGAAACCCTGTTTCTAATAAAAATACAAAAATTAGCCAGGTGTCGTGGTGGGAGCCTGTAACCACAGCTACTCGGGAGGCTGAGGCAGGAGAATAGTTTGAACCTGGGATGGAGAGGGTGCAGTGAGTTGAGATGGCACCACTGCACTCTAGTCTGGGAGACAGAGCAAGATTCCGTCTCAAAAAAAAAAAAAATCAAATAATAGCTCTGGCACTGACTTACTGTGGGATGATCCCTATAGGACACATGGGAATGATAATGCTTATATTATGGGATGATTGGACAAACTGAGAGAATGCAAGTGAAAGCATGCTGTAAACTGTAGAGCCATATACACTGGAAGGTACTGATTCCAACGGCAATAATGATTAAAATGACAGTGTGATTGGCATTGCGGCAAAGCTGCTTTGTGACTGTGACCTGGCCTGATGGACACGTTGATCATTCATAGCTCAGTACTGAGGAAATGCACCCCTTCTTTAGGGATAATGAATGCCCTGTGGAGGCCCACACTGAGCAGGGACACACCGTCTAAGTTTCTGCTGGTGCTTGGCTTGTGGGGCCTGGAGGTTTGGTGAAGGCCTGGTTCTCTTGAAGTGAGAAGCATTTTGAGCCTCTAAGTGAAGATCTTGCTTCAGCTTCAAGGTTCAAGGACGCTCTAGTTCAGGGTGGGGAGGGTGGACTTTGCATCTGTTGTTTGCCTGCCACCCAGATAATCCACAAAGATCCCCAGACTCTTCTCTGGACCCTCCCTTCCATGTCATTCACCTACCCCTGCAGAGGGCATGGGATGCCCAGGAGCACAGGCTTCCATGGACTTGGCGGGCTGTGGGCTGCACATACCCACTTGTCTGTCTCCCTTACAATCCATGCAGGCTCCAACTCCCATCTGATCGCTCATCCCCATACCAGAGAGGCAATGGGCTGTGATAGGAAGAGCCCAGCATCTGGAGTTAGAAGATGCGGGCAAGAATCCTGCCAATTCTGACAGTTACAGAGACCTTGGGGAAATCACTTAACCTTTCAAATCCAGTTTCCTCATTTTAGAATAGGAACTGAGTCTTCAGGCTCGAGGCCACAGGGTCAACAGAATCCTCCTGAGGCACTGTCACGGAGAGTACAGAGGCAGAGGGTCCCGTTCCTGCTCCCAGGACGCAGCCAAAATGTCCAGGACAGAAGATGCAAACAACTTGACGTCTGAAATCTGTGTTTCTCTTGCCTGTCCTGGCCACTGAGGTAGACTTTGCAGCCCAATACTCAGAGGCTCAGAGGAGGGAACATATCACGTTGTAAGGGCCTTCTGCAGCCAGTTAAAGGGCCTCTAAAGAGAAGGTAGGGGCCAGGCACAGTGGCTCACTCCTGTAATCCCAGCACTTTGGGAGGCCAGGGTGGGAGGATCTCTTTTGGAGACCAGCCTGGGCAACACAGTGAGACCCTGTCTCTATTTTTTTTTTTTTTCTTGAGGCGGAGTCTCGCTCTGTCACACAGGCTGGAGTGCAGTGGCCTGATCTCAGCTCACTGCAACTTCCACCTCCTGGGTTCAAGTGATTCTCTCTCCTGTCTCAGCCTCCGGAGTAGCTGGGATGACAGGCGCATACCACCACGCCCGACTAATTGTTTCTATTTTTAGTAGAGATGGGGTTTTGCCATGTTGGCCAGGCTAGTCTCAAACTCCTGACCTCAGTTAATTTGCCTGCCTCAGCCTCCCAAAGTGCTGGGATTACAGGCATGAGCCACCATGCCCGGCCTGTCTCTATTAAAATAAATAAATAGGAGGTGGGAAACTGCCCTGCATGAATCAGTGAAGTGTTAGAGATTCTTCTGGAAAGCACTGCCTGAAACTATGAAACAATGTAGCTCTTTTTTTTTTTTTTTTTTTTTTTTGGAGACAGAGTCTCACTCTGTTGCCCAGGCTGCTGTGCAGTGGTACGATCTCATCTCACTGCAACCTCCGCCTCACAGGTTCAAGCAATTCTCCCTGCCTCAGCCTCCCAAGTAGCTGAGATTACAGGTACCTGCCACCACGCCCAGCTAACTTTTGTATTTTTAGTAGAGACATGGTTTCACCATGTTTGCCAGGCTGGTGTCGAACTCCTGACCTCAGGTGATCTGCCACCTCAGCCTCCCAAAGTGCTGGGATTACAGGCATGAGCCACCGTGCCCAGCTGATATTTTGGCATTTTTTTTTTTAATGGGCTAGATGCTTTTGAGGGGGAAAAAAAACCAGTGGTCCGGTTTCTTCCCTGAGAGGCCTTGGAGATTAATTAGGCTTTTAGTTGTCTGCACCTATGGAAAGCCTGGCCAGCTGGCCCACCTGCTCACAACCCAAACTATGCCTATTTATGGGGGGCAAATTCGGGTTTGCAGGTGTATTACTAAGACAAGAGGTAGCAGCCTCCATCCGGGAGTGGCTCCTGGGATCTGGACCCGATGAAGTCTCCTGTCCTGCCCACTCTGCCTTCTCAGCCCACTGTCTGGTTCCCCAATTGTGACCTCATGCTAGTTATTCCAGAATGAGTTCCTTCCTGGGTTCCTTTCCCTCTGAACTCTGCCCTGTAGTGGGGCTAGCGGCTACAAGTGGGGATGGAATATGCCAGGCTGGCAGCAGACATGGGCCCTGGATGGAGGGGTGCACTGGTCTCAGGTGGCCAGGAATGGATATCAACCCAGTCAAAGGGGTCCTTCTGCTATGGCCAGCCTGATGCAGCATCCATTGCCCCCTGGGGCCACCAGATGGGGAGAGAGAGAAAAACAAACGACTGGAAGATGCAAAGGACTAAGTCGCAGAGTGGGTTACAAGCAGAAGGCAGGAGGGACTCGGATTCGGAGAAGCGGCTATTTCACTGCGTTTGGGGACAGCTGTCAGGGTGGGAAACAGGACCCAGGCCTCAGGCCATGACTGCCAGGCTAGACATGAGGGATGCTGTGGGCTCTCCCCACCCCACCCCACCCCCAACTGCCTTCCTCACAATGGGGTTCATTGCTGAGGTGGTGGGGGACACCTAGGGAGGGTGCAGCAGGGGTCCGGCCTGCCAGACATCCTTGCAGAGCCTGCCCTTTCAAGCATGAACCATACCACCTGAGCTCGCCCACGTGCTCTCAGCTCTGCCTGCCTGGTGTGGGGTCCTGGAGACCTTCCTGGAGTTCATCCAGCAGCCATCATGCAAGGTGGTGCTGGGAACTGCCCTCTTGCTGGGAGGTGGAGGCCTCATGCTGTGGGTTCAGAGAAAGAGGAGAAGGAAGCAAATCTCTAACGGTGCAGCAGACGAGGACGAGTCTCCAGAGTCCCATAAAGCAAAGAAAAAAAGCTGGATCAAATCTCACTTTAGCTGCCTTTCAGAAGAGAAGC